GAAGAAGAAGAAGAAGAAGAAGAAGAAGAAGAAGAAGAAGAAGAAGAAGAAGAAGAAGAAGAAGAAGAAGAAGAAGAAGAAGAAGAAGGGGAGGGGGAGAATATAAAGCATCAAGACACCATAACTAACTTGAATTAAAAGAACTGAGCAAAAAGGCAAACCAAGATTCTTATATTATATATCAGTAGTCCTAACCCTCTACTATAACTATAAGGGTTAGAATTCTCATAAACATAATCTCTGTTCCTATTATCTTTATTGCAATTATTTAAACAGGAGCATCCTATGCAATATGACATCATTATATATTAGCGGTTTTGGCAATCTCATGTGAGGGTAATTCATTGGAGAAAGCAATTCTATTTGGAAGAGTTAGAGGTAAAAGGAAACCCACCACCAAAGAACATGATAGCCAGACACCATCAAAGCTGACATCAACAAGACAATATAAAAACTGAGAAAGTAGTTCAAGATTGGAAGATGTTGAAAAGTCTGACCCATAGAATTTGTCAAGAGTTTGACACAACTGAATGGATAACATCATCATCATCATGTAATAGGTAATTATATTAATTTTATAAACTGAAGAATTCAGTGTATGTAGACAAACATTCCTGAGAATGGGAAACTAACTTATGCCAATTTTCCTTGTATTTGTGATTTTAAAACATTACCTGCCAAAGCATTGAATTCAGAACATTCTTTAGTCCTTCCTCTGATATAGTTCTGTGCTTGAGCATTGATGAACTCATGGATTTCAAAGCATGAGCCACAGCATAAACTGCATTGTAGATGCTATAGCTATGGGGAGTTATGCTCATGTCAAAAACAGACCTAGGAAGAGCTTCCAGTTTCTCCTCCCCACTGCAGTGAGTCCAAACATTGTCCTCTAAGGTTGTTGGGAAGGAACAATCAAATGCCTGTCTCCAAAAGTCCTTAATAAAGCCATCTCTGGTTTCCACATTAGGGTTTCTCCTCTGAAGAAAATTTTGGAAACCTACCACCTCGTCTGACTGGATTGCAAAGGCTAAGGAACCATGAAGGATATCTAGATCCCAAGATTGTTGAAAGGGAACAGAAGTGAATTCTATCTGTGCCATCATCACCCAGACTTTACCCGTCTTCATTTGTTTGTCTTCAACTTCCAAAATTCTGGGAAACATTCTCAGAAAGATTGTAGTGTGAATTTCACTATGTAAAATCACAACACTGGCAATGCTATCACTTATCAAGACATACAGTTTGACCCATGATTCCATCATTTCATGAATGCCAGTTTTGAAATACACAGTTGGGAATGGTTCTATAAAGTCAAAGCAGATACCACTTTGAGAAAACCTGGGAAGTTCCTTCTGCATAAACCTGAGGCCATTGTCATCCTGTACAAAAATGACACCAATCCAGGTCCATCTGAAAAGCAAAAGAAGTTGAAGTATCCCTGTATATTGTTGGATTCTGTTAGGGAGCATCCATTGGAAGAAGGCTTGTTGGGATGGGTCATTAATCACAGGAGAAGATCCATATCCAAGCTATTTTAAAAAAAGGAAAGACTAAGTAGGTGGGGGTTGTGTAGGCAAACTTTTATTGTCTGAAGTTTGAATATCCATCTCATATTTTGGGAAAGAATGGAAGAAGATGAAAAGTGATGGGAAATAAGTCCTGTTAAGGATGGAGCTAAACTTTTCTCTATTTTCCAAGAGTAAATGGAAGTTTGGTCTTGTCATTTGTTCAGATAGGCAACCACCTATCTGAAATGGTATAGGGCAGTGATGGCTAACCTTTTTGCGAGATCCAATCTGGATTGATCACCAGGACTAGAGATTTAGTCTTCTGATATTCTAGACTCATTCTGGAGCCATCTTCAGGGAATGTCTTTGTGGCAGAATATATCTACATCCCTGCGGATGGGCCACAGCACAAATCCGAAAGCTCAGAAGACTAAACCTCCGGTCCTGATGACTGACTCAGTTTGGAACTAACTATGCCCCTTTCCTCAGAACTCCAGGAGAGATGCTGTGAAATGCTAATTCAAACTTTTAAAAATTTCTGGGTCAGGATTCATGTTTAATGCATGGCATAAACATTTCCTTTAGAATGATGCCGATTTCTTTGTCCCAAATTAATAAAAAAGCTCAGGGTGTCTACCTTACCTGTGGTATCTTGTAGATGCTCAGAGTGGTGGCCATGAAAAGACATGCTTTGGAGTCAGGTCCTCCAATCACAGCCACTGTAGTACTTTGGACATCACATTTATAGTTTGGGATGAACTTGCCCCAAGTAGAGAGGAGCTCCAGTGAAGCCAGGTAAGTTAAGCTTCCAGTGAAGAAGACATCATAAATGTTGAAACCTAGGGAGATGTTGTACAACACCTGAGGATCTTCGTTGATTTCTTTCACCGCAAAGACAAGAGCCAAGATGTGCTGGTAGGTCTGAGTCAAAAATCTATAATGAGATTTAACGCCTCTACTTAAGAAGTTTAAGGCTTGCTAAATTCATATTCCCTTAATATAAAGGTATTGTATTTTGTAATATTACAGAATCATAAGATATCCAGGGAACATCATGATGAAACTCAGGCACAGGTTATCAACTATTTTCAATTGAAAAAGATGGGATCCACCCAAACTCACATTGTTTTGGAAGACCACCCCTGGACTTTCTAAGATTCCCTGCACATACATGCTTGTTGTTTCCAGTTCTAGGGGTGTTACTCATCTCCGTTTCCAAGCTGAAGAGCCAGTGCTGTCCGAAAACATCTCTGTGGCCATGTGGCTGGCATGATTAAATGCCGAAGGCACATGGAGCACTGTTACCATCTCACTAAAGTTGTCCCTCTTTTTCTACTCGTATTTTTTTATGTGCTTCCGAACTGCTAGGTTGGCAGAAGCCAGGACAAGTAACAAGAGCTCACTCTGTTACATGGTGCTCAAGATTCAAACCACTGAACTGCTGACATTCTGATCAACAATCTCAGTGTCTTAGCCACTTAGCCAGCGTGTCCCTTTGACGTTCTAAAGCACCATATCGAAACCTAGCATAGACCTATTTCACAATGTAGCATAAAAATGCATACATTTCAGTGAGTTGCTTTTAAATCTCCATCTAACTATCTCTGTCTAGATGTTGATTCCAAAAATGCACGTCAATGTTACTTTTCATTTTTAAGAGAGCATGCGTGAGAGAAAATAAGAAGTGACCTTGGGTATGAATGGAAAGAATTCCACCAATCACCTATCTTAGCAGGAAATTGGGATTAGCCATGGACTGCACGCCCTACTTCTATAGATAAGACTTCCATTAGTTCGACATCCTCATTTTCAAAGTTGATTTTCCCATTATTCCAGCCATCTGTCAAGAATGCCACTTGGTGGCAAATTCATCTTCTGCCACACCGTACATTCAAATACCATCCTGATATTCTTCAAGATTATTTTATTGATTTATATTTTAATAGCTTTCAGTTGTCTTTCAATTCACAGTTCTTAATGAAAGATGGAATGATTTTATAATGGAAATCTTATATATTATGGTTTTCATCATGATTTATAATTTGCCACTTAGTTGTTTGTATATATACTAAGAGTTTATGTGCTGGAGACAAATTCCTTGGGTGTCCAATCACACTTGACCAATCAAGAATATACAAATAAAGAATATTCCAAATAAGTTAGTATCAATCTTACTTAGATGTTCAGGAAAATAAAAAGGAACAATTATCTTAAAATGTATTGCAAGGTATAGAAGAAGTATAATGAGAATAATAGTAATATGTCACAAAGAATTGGGGAGGTGGAACGAGCCTCAGTAATGTTCACCATAGAAAATTTAACTTATCATCCTTCTTGGGAACATAATGTAAAGTGATGAGTTATGTGTTCACTTTTGCCTAGAGTTTCTTCCACTGAATGAATATTATAGGTCATGGAAGCTTAAAGGTCAGTTTTAATTTAATCGAAAAACCATGGATACAGATCTAAGAAAACACTTATCACCTGAACTGTTTGATTAAGGCACCAATTGCTTACATGAGATCATCAAGGACTTCAGAAGAAGGATGCCTTTCAAATTTGAGAGGATTGGAAAACATGAAGCTTTGTGAACTAATGCCAGCTATGATGACATCTCCTGACTGATAATATTTATGGTTGATTTTCGGTGTGTCACTGTTCATGCATTTAGCAACTGGAGTATCACATGATGTCCAAGGAAGCAGTATGAAAATCCAGGGAATAAAGTTCATAATCTTGAATTTACATCTTCTTCTTAACATTAAGTCATCTGTGTTTTTTTCCCCAGTCATTCAAGTGTTGGGAAGCCTTCCACTTCATTCATAGGTTCAGAGCTCCCGATTGCTTTAAAATCCTTGTGCCAAATGTTCCAGCATCGATTAAGAAGAATCACCAATCTTGATTTTGTTTTTCTAGACACTACCAGAAAATCCCTTGCCACCTGGAGGAGTTTTTCAAGTAATCAGCATAAATTGGATAATTATGGATAATTTAAATATCTGCTTATCATTTGAAGTTTTTTTTTTTCGTGTAGCAGAAGAAAATCATTTTCTAACCTATCCCAAATTTGCTCTTTTCAAGAGGCAACTGGACTTTCTAGTTTTCTTTGAAGATGTTTACCTTCTTATCCAAGAAGCTTCTTCAGCTCAGCCCAAGACCTGAAGAACCTTCTTGGATGAGAAGCAAAATGTCTTAAGAAAAAAACAGAAAGTCCAGTTGCCTGTTGCCATTTCACTTCATATCCAAGAAGCTTCTTCAGCTCAGCCCAAGACCTGAAGAACCTTCTTGGATGAGAAGCAAAATGTCTTAAGAAAAACCCGGAAATTTCAACTGCCTCTTGAAAAGGCACCTTGGGGACAACCACGACCTAGATGACTGAGAATCTCCATAGATATTGCCAACCTATTATTTCAACAAAACTTTGCTGTTTTTTAAAAAAAGTTTCAAAAGAATCAATGTTCTAAAATAAGGGTTAAGAGTATTTAGCAGGAGTATTTCCAGGTGGAGTCAAAGCAGGCAAGATGAAAAAAAAATAATGTTGCAAGCAAAGATGGCATCCTACTGGTTTAACAACCAGTTCGCTGAGCATGCGCGCCTAACGTGCACTGTGCACGCATGTGCAGTTGACAGTAAAGCAGCTGAGGCACCGCAATCCACTCTGCTGTCCCAATCTCAAAAACAAGGAAATAAAGGAAAGTATAACCCAGGGCAGGCAGGCAGGCCCATCTGAAGGTTGGAGCAAACGGTTTGCTCTCAGCAGATCTTCAGAGCCATCGGTATGCCCGAACTGGGCCAAACCGGTAATATCATTTAACATACCTAAGGGTATTTTAGGCTATCGTATTTTTTGGAGTACAAGAAGCACCAGAGTATAAGACGCACCAAGATTTTGAAGAGGCATATTTTTAAAAAATGTTTTTGCACTTTGCAGACCTCTCAAAAACAGCCCATTTTTCACCAAAATTGGCCCATTTTTTCCCCAAAAAAGGGCATGAATAGCCTTTAGTAGGCTGTAGAATGCTCCTGAGGGCTGCCCCCCCCAACAAACAAAAATCTGCCCATCGTTCGCAAAAACAGGCCTGTTTTTGTCAAAAAAAAGAGGCATGCATAACCTTTAGGAGGCTTATACAGTGCTCCTGGGGCCGGGTGGGGGGCACAATTGAGCTAAAAACGACCCATTTTTCACTCATTTCTGCCCTCCCCAGCCCCCATGAGCACTCTGAAAGCCTCCTAAAGGCTATGCAGGGCTGTTTTGGTGTAGGGGGCAGGGTTTTGGGAAGCAAAAAATGCTGTATTCAGTGTATAAGATGCACCTGGATTTTCAGCCTCTTTTTTGAGGTAAAAAGGTGCATCTTATGCTCCGAAAAACACGGGAATTCTTTTGAGGATATCTACTTCATAATGTACCAGTTATGCTCCTTACTGGAAATTTTTGAAAGATTGAAGACCCTTCATGCAGTCACTCATGCCCTTGATGTTTCAAGATTTGACTACTGCTATGCACTCTATATGGAGCGGCCCTTGAAGATGCTCTCCTTAACGTCTCCAAATGCAGTGGTATAAGCAATGATGAACATGCCCTACCCATATGCTCCCATGAGACATCTGCTTCATGAGTTGCACTAATTATCAGTTTTCTTCATGATGTGATTAAAGGTCCTGATTTCTACATATAGAGATGTACATGGCATGGGACCTGAGAAACAGGGATTGCTTGTTTCCCGTAGCATTTGTCTAGCCAGTTCCTTCAATAAAAGAATGAGATTTTGGGATCATCATTTATATCCACTAGGTTTTTTTTTAATATGTGCCATTTTTGTTCTCTCTGTGTGTGTTTTTCTTCTTGCTTATAAGCTACCTAGGGCCACTTGAAGCATGCAGCATATAAATTAAATTACACATATATGCACATGCATGCACACAGAGAGACCCACAGATATCAGTGGTGTCCTCAGAATTGGATTCGGTCAGAATACCAATAAGGCAGCATGGGATCAAAATCTCCCATATACATCCCTAAAAGTTGGCCTTCAGGCCTTTAAATTTTTGAGAAAATATAATTCAATGTGGGGCAGGATTGAAAAAATTGAGAACTTATACCTTTGCAATAGACTACCCAACCATTTTAAATTTTTTGCTGACTACATGATGGACCTAAAAATACATAGGCCTTCAACTGAGTTCCCTTTGGTCTTTGCTACTTTCCATTGTTTCAGAGGAAATTGAAGATTTCAAACAAACCAGGAAGAGTGGACCGAGGAAAGGGCTAACCCAGTGATGGCTAATCTTTTTGTCATTATGTGCCCACACCTATAATCCAATGCATGTGCCCCACCCCCATTCATCTGCATGCAACTCCTGCACATGTGACCTCCCTGCACTCCCACTCCCCACATACATGCACACTTTCCACCGTGCCCATTTTTTGCTTCCAGGTTGGTGCAGATGGTTTTCCAGGGCCAAAACGGGGTGCGTGGGGGTGGGAGGTGAATCTTATACATTGATCAGGGTGGTTCAATGTTTAAAGCTATCAAAATCAGGAAGTTTGCCCATATGTTGTGATAGACTTTATAACTATACTGATTTAATTATTAGACTATAGGCATGGTAGAATGGAAAGACATGGGAAATTGTACTTTTTATTATTACACTAATACACCAACGTTTAATTTTCAAAAGCACTTAAGGCACGTGTTTTTGCTGACCACAGTCACTGATCTAAATCCCATTGTGTACAGTAAGACTGATTCCTCTGTTTATGATGGTTTTTTTTGCAGGAGTTGCTGCCTGTTATTCAGCTCAGGTCTTATCAAGATGATGTAAGGTTTGGGGGAGAAAATGAGAACCAATAATCCAGCACTTGAGGCTAAGATGGAGAAGATCTCCACAGCCACTGTGTATTTCCCTTTGGTGCTCTGGTAGGCTGGGACAAAAGAGATCCAGACGCTGCAAAAGAGAAGCATGCTGAGGGTGATAAATTTGGCTTCATTGAAACTGTCTGGAAGATTCCTGCCAAGGAAAGCCTCTGTAAAGCTGATCATGGCTAAGAGGCCAATGAAGCCCAGGACACCGTAGAACATGGCAGTGGAGCCTTCATTGCACTCCAGGACTATTTCTATAGGCAGAGAGTCCATGTCAAGATCTGGGAAGGGAGCAGAGCTTGCCAACCACACAGTGCAAAGAGTAGTTTGAATGAAAGAACAGGAAAGCACTATAAAAAGTGCCAGCCTTTTCCCCACCCATGACCTCATCTGAGAACCCGGCCTGGTGGCCATGAAAGCTAGGACCACAGTGATGGTTTTGGCCACCACACAAGAAACTGCCACAGAGAAGATGATACCAAAAGCAGTTTGGCGAAGGAGACAGGTTGCCCTCTGAGGCCGACCAATGAAAAGCAAAGGGCAGAGAAAGGAAAGCAGAAGGGAGACCAGGAGGGTGTAGCTGAGACCTCGGTTGTTGGCTTTCACTATGGGAGTGTCTTTGTGCTGAATGAAAACTGCAAGGATCAGGGCTGTGATAGAGGAAAATAAAAGGGCAAAACTAGTCAAAGTGATCCCCAAAGGCTCATGGAAAGATAGGAAGCTGATATCTCTTGGGATGCACTGATCGTGGGCTTTGCTGGGATAGTGATCCTCTGGACACTGGTAACAAGATTCTGAGTCTGAAAAGGTAAAGACAAATATCTTTATTTAGACTTTCTTAATCAAGAGAGAAAGAACACTTCAATGCATAATCTGAACTCCACAGAAAATTGCATGATTCTCAAACAATTGTGTCTTTATAAAGTACTATGCAGGACCTAACATACATTTGCTTGTTGTTCACTCAGTCAGTTTACAGTCAGTTTACATTTCTTCAGAAACTGTGGGAAAAACTGGATCCTGAAAAGGCTTCTGGCACCCACACAAAGAAAAAGACCAATTTCAACCTGATTTCTATATGATAATGTCTGGACACGCCCACCTGGTTCCAAATTCAAATCCCATGAGATCCTTACCCATTTGATTTGAAATTTTCCCTTCTGGACATAGAAGGCAATCATAACAACAAAATGGCTTCCCTTCCTTCTTGGTCTTGCTGTAACCTTTATGGCAGGGTTCATTGCACAAAGAACGAGGCTGTGCCTGGGCACAAAGAAAAGCTTACACGGCATAATCCTGAAATGTTGGCTTGATTCTGGGATAGCCATATACCATTGGTTCTAATTTAGACAATTGTGATAGTATAGTACTGTGATGGTGCCCATCATAATCTGGTTATATTTAACTTAAGCAAAATAAAACCATTACTAACCAAAGTTAAGGTAAAAGTTCCCCTCGCACAAAGATGGTTCCTATTTTTCTACTTGCAGTTTTTAAGTGCTTTCACATTGCTAGGTTGGCAGAAACTGGGACAAGTAATGGGAGTTCACTCCATTACGCAGCGCTAGGGATTCGAACCACCAGACTGCCGACCTTTCTGATCGACAAGCTCAGGGTCTTAGCCACTGAACCACCCTTTTACTAGTACTTTCTTTTAAATCATTAGCGTTGTTATATTAGTTTTCATTAACTGCATCCTGAACTAATGAGATATATCCCAACTCTATATGGAATATACCTGGCTAAAGCTCTGTGGCCACGTAATGGCATCAACATAAACCCTGAATGCTTTTTCTTCAGAA